GTATATGTATACACACACACACACACATACACACACATGCTTTTTCCAGCATGACCAACTAAGACCAGGCTGGAAATGGCTGGAAACCAGCCTGGAAGTGGCCAAAACCCCTCTAAAACCAGGCTGGTCGACCAGCTAAAACCAGCCAACCATACTAGGCTAGTTTAAGCTGGATTTTTCAGCAGGGAATTCATGCTATTACCCAGCTAACTAAATTTAAACATGTAAGAACATCTTAACAATGTGATATTTCATGCTAGCATAATGTTACTGAACTGCTAACTTATTTAAACACATCTGAAACCTATTAGCGATATTAGGCTAATGTACTTACTCCTTTTGAACATGAGAAACATGTTAGCAATATGCTAATTATGCTAGCAGTGCGTCCACTTTTTGAGAATAAAAAGAACCACCACTTTCACCAGGCTGGCTACGGCCCTGATGCATTTCATGCTGAACTAAAGAGCTGTTTTGCAGTATATACAGCACTGTGTGTTAGCATTCAATTCTGACCACAGCCTTTGTTATGCAATAAAATCATGGTCTTGTTGTATTATTTAGATTTGTGATTTATTTTAGCGCTGATCTGTGTGAATAATGATGCTGTATTCCTTCATGTTTCCACGTTTTTTTTCTGCTCGTTTTTGTTTCAGTCCCACGACACTACAGTATATATGCAACTGTTTTCTGCTCGAAGAGGTACTTTTACAAGGAAATCTCCTTCATGTGGCCTTTTTTTAAACACTACTAAATTTTAATATATAATTCAAACTAAACTGTATTCAAACTATGTTAGCTATCGAGAGGGAAATCATATTATATCCTTTATTTAAACAAAAGAGTGCCTTTTAGGGTTGTTTGTATATAAAATTGCAATAAATGTAACTGTTGACTTGACCGTCGCTGGAGTTTTATTGGGCTGTGGGTCATTTCCTGGGATTGAGAGAACCGGTTTCACTCTTATATGGTCAAAAACATGGATGAAAAGACCAATAAAACACACGAGTGTGACGGAAAACTAAACACCATCCATC